TAAGATCTCTTCATTGTACCCTATTTGTCTACTTGTTCCTTTAAAGAATACTAGCAAGATTTCATAACATAAAACATTTAAAAAAATATGATATTGCATGTTTGGGGGATTACTTTGATTTTCTCATCTCCAGAATAGTGCAATTTAATTTTTAAATTATTCCTTGTTTTAAAAATTACAAACTTATTTCTAAGTGTTATTTTTTATGTTGCACTCTAAAAACCATACCATGTGTTCTGAGAAAATATTTATTTTCAATTAAAAAATATATCAGGGGCTGGAGCAGTAGTAAAGCAAGGTACTTGCCTCACCCACAGCCAACCTGGGTTTGATCCTCAGGATAAGCATAAAAGTGTATCCTGAGCACTGTTAATAGTGATCCCTGAACACAGAACCAAAGTAATCCCTGAGTACAGCTTGGTGTGGCCTTTCCTCCCCGCCCCCTCCTCCCCCCAACGCACAAAATTATTCCTGGTCCAGGGATTTGGCTCACGAGTTAAAGTGCCTACCTTACAAGAATCAGACCTAGGTTTGATCCTTAACATTGCAAAAAAGGAAACAAAAAAAAAGGCCAGTCCTGAAGATGATCCACAGAGTGAGAGTGAATATTTGCAATAATGTATCTAGTAAGGGACATGTATCTAGAATACATAAGGAATTGTTTTGATTCAATAAAAAGATAGCCTAATTTTAAAAAATGATTGAAGTATCTGAGTAGACATTTCTTCAAAGTATCTATACAAATGGCCATTTGCCCATAGAAGTATGTTTAGTGTCATCAGCCATTAGAGAATGAAATCAGTATTACACTGTGATGCTGTTCACAGCACTATAGTAAACAGCACATATAATAAAGTACATTAGTGAGGAGGTGAAAAATTAGAACCACTATTCTTTGCTCATAGGAATATAAAATTTTAAATGCAGCCACTTTTGAAAACAATCTGCCTGTTCCTCATAAAGTGAGAAATACAGACTTGTACAAGAATGTGCATAGCAGCATTACTCATAATGGCCCCAAAGCAGAAACAACCCAAAAGCCTATCAACTGATGAACGGCTTAATGAAATGGAATATTATTTGGAAAGAAAAAGGAACGAAGGGCCTAAAGATGTGGTTTAGAGGTGGAGCACTTGCTCTGCATGTGGGAGGCCCAGGGCTCCATCTCCAGCACCATCCCACATCACTCTAGCACATTTTCCAGTACTGCTGGGTATGATTCCTCAGCACCATGGGTATGATCCCCAGAACCATAGCAAGTAATCCCCTGGAACTGCAGTGGAGTATGTGATGCCAGCATTATACACATCAGTGTGCAGTCCCCGACACTGCAATACCAGCAGCAACAATAACAATGACAATATTTGAACATGCAAAAGAAAAAAGAGGCATGAATAAAGTACTGGTATGTGCAACAGTGTGGATGAAGCTTGAAAACAGGCTAAGTCAAATAAACCACTCACAAGGGTCAGTTGATTCCATTTATGAGAGCTCTCTAGAATAGGAAAATCTATAGAGTAGAAATTAGATGAGGAGATGATAGGACTTGGGGAAGGAGAGAAGATTTGTGCTGACAGCTAGGGAATATGGGGCTTCTTTCAGCCATAGTGAAAGTGTTCTAAAAGTGATTGTGGGGGCCAGAGAAATGGTACAGGAATTAAGGCACTTATCTTACATATGACTCAGTTTGGTTGGATTCCCAACACAGCATATAATTCCTCAGCATCATCAGGATTATCCCTGAGCACAAATCTAGGGAGTATACCATAAGTACCACTGGCCAAAAAATCAGCCCCCACAAATTGATTGTGATGGTGGATACCCAACTCTGTGAATATTCTGGAAACTGTTGGTTCGTATTGATTATTGGACTAGGAATCAAACCCAAGACCTCATTCACATGAAAAGTGTGTTCTACCAATGAGCTATAGTCCCAGTCTGAAGTGTATACTTTGTTATTTTGAGGGAGGCACACTTGGGCAGTGTCCAGAGGCTATACCCTGCTTGGTGCATGAACTTGCTTCTGGTGCTGCCAGGTGAATCATGTTGTTCCAGGGATCCACTGGGCCTCCAGCTTGTAAAGCGTATGCTCAGCCCTTTGAGCTATCAAGTATTGTACATTTTGAATGAGTGAATTGAATGTGTGAATTATAGCTCTGTAAGGCTATTAGAAAAAATAATACCAGTATTTAAGACAAAAGTGTGAACTGTTTGTGCATTATTATGAGAAGCTGATCTATCGTACTCAGGTAGCCATTAGATCTCATTAGGATTAGAATTAGAATTAGATGATGGGACATGAGTCAGTTATGACAGCATTGCAGTAACACCCATTCATTATGAATATGGGTGATAGGAAATCTACAGAGAGATGACACGAGGGGAATATATTACTCTTTTTTTCTGCTTTGTGGAATGAGTGCCTCAGGGTCTTTGTACGGTACCAGAGTTTAGAAACCATTTTCCTCATCTGGGGCTGCCTGTGTCCTGAGTAGGAGCTGAGGGTGGGCCAAGTTTTTGGCCTGAAGCTTTTCTTCCTAGTGCTGAGTGCTAAGATGATGGACTTTTCCATAAACCTTTGAGTTTTCTGTGTATTGTTGAGGGGGTCAGCAGTGGTCAGGGCCACCAGGATCATATCTGTCAGTGCTGGTGGTGTTGAGGGATGACAATATAGTGTGAGGGATCAAGCCTAGGGCCTTATACTTGCTGGGCCATATCCCCAGCCCAGCTGTCATGTAGATTTGAGTTGACTTATATTAGGGTAAAGAAAATGAGTTTTGGACTGAAAGAACTGAGTGTATGCTTCATGTGCGGGAGGCCCGGATTTGATCCCTGGAACCACCTGGCCCCCAAAGCACCGAGCTGGGAGTAGCCCCATGCATTACCTGTTGTGTCCCCCAAATCACAAACTAAAAGTCATTTCCCCTCCTTAATTTGTTTGGTTTGGTTTGGGGGCCATAACTGCAGTGCTCAGCGCATTACTCTTGGTTCTTGGTTCTGCCCTCATGGATTACTCCTCGCAGGGCTTGGGTTGTTGGGACTGAACCCAGGTCAGGTCAGCCTGCATGCAAGGCCTTGGTTACTATATTAGCTCTCCAACTCTTTCAGAATTTTTTTTGTTTTATTTAGAATTCATGCATTTTCCCCCTTTTCTTCTGTCTCTGCCCCCACCCCCTCTTGTTTTGGAGTCATACCCAGTGATGCTTAGGACTTACTCCTGGCTCTGTGCTAAGGGTTCATTCCTGGTGGGCTCAGAGTCAGGGATTGGACATGGGTTAGCTGTGTGCAAAGCAAGTGCCCTACCTGCTATCTTGTCTCTCTGACTCCGGAATTCATGCATTTTCTTAGTCTTACGGGTGCCCTGATAAAGATCTTACTAATACAGTTTTCTTCTGCATTTTTCTGTCCTGTTTCTGCTTACAGCTAAGCAAGGTCTAACTGCAGAGCGTTGTCTTTGTTCCATTTAGCCCAGTGCTTTCCACCAATCCCCTGTGAATGTCTGGAATGGAAAAGTATGATGAAGAATCTAGGACAACTTTCTCCTTCCTCTTGGGACAGCTTCTCAGGGCAGTCTGTTTTCGAAATATTGTACATTCTTAGCCAGATCATGCCCAAAATTTGTGTTTAAAGACAAATCTCAAAGCATTTCCTAAAAGCAAATGTAAATGAGTGTTGGATGGGTTGTCATTTCAGATGGTTGACAGTATTGCTTCTTTCAGCATCACCAATAAGTTCTGCTCCTTGTCACCAGGGACTAGAAGCTCTCACTCAAGTGGGTGTTCCAGAAATGAAGAGTGCGTTTTTGAAATTTCCCAGAGAGGAAATTAGTATGTATCTTGAAATCTGAAATGCCTCCCCCAGAGCTGGAAGCCCGCATTGCTGAGGCATGTCTCTTGTTCCCAGGGCCCTCTCCTTTGCCAAACCCCTTCTGACCCTGGCTGACGCATGTCACCACAGTACTGTGGCATGTGTGAAGGAGACGGTAACCTAAACTATTTTTTTTGATTTTGTTTTCTTTGGGGTTTTTGGGCCCCAACCAGTGGTGCTACTCTGAAAGGCCAGTCCTGACTTTCTTTTTTTTTTTTAAATTAATTAATTTTTTTCTTTTTGGGTCGCACCCGGCGATGCACAGGGGTTACTCCTGGCTCTGCACTCAGAAATTACTCCTGGAAGTGCTCAGGGGAACATATGGGATGCTGGGAATCTAACCTGGGTCGGCAGTGTGTAAGGCAAACACCCTACCCACTGTGCTATCGCTCTAGCCCCCCCCCCTTCCCGCCCCTCACTTTTCCTGATTTTGTGCTCAGCACGGACCCCTAGCAGTGCTTGAGGGACCACATGTGGTTCTAGGGATTGGAACCGGAGTCACTGAATGCCAGGGAAGTGCCTTAACCCCTGTACTATCTCTCTGGCCTCCCATTGGTTCTATGTGGCCTGATGTTCTGGGATCCTCCTCCTCCTCCTCCTCCTCCTCCTCCTCCTTCTCCTCCTCCTCCTCCTCCTCCCCCCCTTCCTCCTTCTTCTCTTCCATCTTCTTCTTCTTTTTCTTTTTTTGGTGGAATTGTGCAGATGTGTGTGTGTGTGTGTGCCAGAGGACCCATTACTAGGTGTTCTTGTAGATCCCTTGGGGGTTTTGAATTACTCTTTAATTTGTATTTAAATTGTTTAGACTGACAGTAATGAAGGATGGCCTTTGGCGAGAACTGTGTATTTGGCAATAGTGGGTCAATATATACCTAAACAACTTCATGGAGCGGGCAAGCTAAGTACGTACCATGGATTCATTCACTGGGGAGGTCGACAGTGGTGTCAACAAGGCACAGGGTGCTCTGCTCTGCCTCCTTGTCCTTGCTGGGCATCCTGCAGCATTCCTGAACGCAGCCATCCGTATATAGCCACACCTAACAACTCTAGTCTCGAGACATTTGTGGAGAGCAGATTTGATAGAAGCCTCATCTCTCTTTTTGTTTTCTCTCTCCCATCTCCTGCATCCTTACCAGACAAAAGTTGAAGACAAGATCCAGGAGGTCTTCAGTTCTTACAAGTTCAACCATCTGGTCCCAAGGTAAGCTGTGGTCAGGAGGTAGAGGGAGCTGGGAAGCCCTCTTGTGGGGCTGTCTATCTTTTTGCCTCCTTGCATTTGCAGAACCATGCAGAACCATACTGATTCTGCTGAGAGAATGAGAGCAGGTTTCCTTGCCCTCAGCATGCTTCCGGCCACAACTCCTTCCTCTGTTTTGTGTTACTCAGAGGAGATATTCCTCTTGAGTGGTATGACTTGGGGATACTCCTAGAGATCTTGGTGTATATGTGTGTGTGTGTGTGTGCATATGTGTGTGTGCATATGTGTGTGTGTATGTGTGTATTTGGTGAGGGTGGGGGTAGGCTAAATGTGGCAGTGCTCAGGGTTTCCTCTTGGTTGTGCTGGAGTTGGGGTGGCATATGTAGTGCTGGGGATTGAACCTGGGTTGGCTGATGTAAGGCTAGTTCCTCACCCGCTGTACTGTCTCTCCAGCCCTATCTGTTTGTTTGGGTGCCACACCTAGTAGTGCCTGGAGGCAGCAGGTGCTATTCCTGAATCAGTGCTTAGGGGTCACTCCCGGCAGTGTTTGGGGAACCATGCAGTGCCAGGGACCAAATCTGGAGCTCCTGTAAGCAAAGTATATGCTCCAATCCTTTGAGCTGTCTCCCCGTTATTTGAGTGACAAAATGTGAGCCTGACCCTTGGCGGTAATTATGTGGCAAATCCCAAGTGGACCTTCTGTTTTTTCTTGGAACTTATTAAGTTCTTCAATGTCAGCAGTTCCAAAAAGGAGATCAGAAGGAGAAACTTACTTAAGTTGAGCCTCTATTTTTCTCTTTTTTTTTTTCCTATTTTGTAATGTATTGTGCTGGATTTTTATAGGTTATTTCATTTATTAGTGTTTCTTTTCTAGTCCCAAATTGTTTCCCAAATTGTTTCTCCAAAATCATCAGAACTTTTCAGCCTCCAAAACTATGTATAGTCATCATTTTATCTCAGTGATACAGCTGTTTTCCATGACAGTCTCTGAACAAAGTGAGGTCAGGTGCTGCTGGCTCATTCACTCTAGATGGGAAGCTAAATCATCTGAAAACTAGCCAACGAGTTCATCATATCTCCTGACTTCCCAAGATCTCCTCACAGACTAACTTCTGGCAGCTCAGCCTCTGGTTACTTCTCCGAGAACGTTACAAATGGTTCTCGCCTGAGTGAAGGTCAGGTCTTTTTCGCTTCTATTCTTTTTGGTCGCTGTTTCTAAATTAGATCTGAAATTTCTGAATAGCTGTTAGACAATCACTGAAAGAGGAAAATTGGAAAAAGAAAAAAATGGGTTAAGTTAACTCCATCTTTCTTTCCAGAGGAAGAAATACACAAAAGAACTAAGGACCAGAAACATAGTTAGTGCAGGGGCTAAGGAACTTGATTTGCATGAGGCTAACCCTGGTTTGATCTTCAGCACCATTTATGATCCCTTGAGCACAGAGCTAGGAAGAGTTTTTGAGTATTACCAGATGTAACCCCCAAACCAAAAATTATTTAGGGGCCATATAGTTCAGGGCAGTTAAGGTCTTGTATGTCACCAACTCTGGTTTGAATCCCAAGCAACACATTGTCCCTTGAGCATCACCAGCGGTCACAGAGCCAAGAATAACCCCTGAGGACCACTGGCCTACCAAGAAATCCATCAACAAGAAAATCAAGATTTGAGCCTGAGTTTAAGGTGTTTTGCCTTAAATGCAGCCAACTTCTGTTCAATCCCTGGCACCGGATATGGTCGATCCACTGAACCCCATCAAGAGTGAGCCCTGAGCACAGCTAGGTGCTCTGCCCCCAAACCAAAAATTAAAATATAGGGGCTGGAGCAATAGCACAGCGGGGAGAGCGTTTGCCTTGCACGTGGCTGATCCAAGTTTGATTCTCAGCATCCCATATGGTCCCTGAGCACCGCTAGGAGTGATTCCTGAGTGCATAGCCAGGAGTAACCCCTGTGCATCGCTGGGTGTGACCTAAAAGACAAAAAAAAAAAATCAAAATATAGAAAAACTATCAGTGGGGCTTGGAGAGATATTTCAGAGATATTTCAGTTTGCGTTGTATGTGGCCAATCTGAGTTCGATCCCTGGCATCCCGTATGGTCCCCCGAACCCTGCCAGGAGTAGTTCCTGAGTGCAGAGTCAGGAGTTATCCCTGAGCACCACTGGATGTGACCCCAAAACAAAAATGAAACAAGAACTGGAGGAATTTTTGCCAGGTTACTAAACTAAACCCCTGTATTAACTTAAAGCTTGGAACTTGCCCAGTGAATTATTGCTCTTGTTCAGAAGCTACAGCTGGAGAGCAGCAGTGAAGTCACTGGTCATTTGTCTATTCTGTCGGGGAGACAGACTTCCCAGGAGCTTCCTGGGCTGTGTCAGGCGCTGATGGTTTCAGGAGTCTCTGGGGGGAGCAGCGCTTCCCAGATGACTCACCTGATTGGACTCTGAGTCACTGTCTGCCATCCTCCGCTCTGTGGACACATGTCTTCCAAAGAGGCCTGTGACGCTGTGTTGTTCTTCTGTCTCTCACCATCTGAGTAGAGCTCATGGATTTTTCTTTAATTCCTAACCAGGTGATGAAGGGAGATGGGAGGTTATTGTCTGGAGGAAGACTATAATCTTTGGGAGTGGTTGGGTTTGGGAGTGGCTGTAGAGGACAGTAAGGGGATAAAATCATCCCCTGTCTCATAGGTTAAGTCCTATGGTGTGGTCAGGTATGGGAGGAAAACAAAAATATTCTCCTTGAGTTTGTGGAAAGAGAATCCATCAGGACTCTGGGTGTAATTCAGGAATTTGTCATTTCCCATCTCAGCATTGTCACCTCTGAAAACAAGTGTTTCAAAGGAATCTAATTAGCAGCTCATTATGTCCCAGCATACTAATATCAGTGATTACACCTTTTGGCTGAGTGGCTGAGTGTGTAAATCAACATATCAACATCAGACCGGTGCCCCAAGTCAACATCATAGAATAAACTTCTTGGATATAAATCTGAAATTTTATCTGAACTTAAAATGAGCAACCACTTCAATATTTAAGGTTGTAGTAGTCAAAACTTAAACATAAAGCAAAAACAAGCCTTCACTGTTAGGTAAGGTGAATATTCTGTCATTAGCAGTAAGTCTAGATGACATGACCTATGTCTGAGATTCTGGTGCGGATCAGATGTGATTGAAGCGTACCCTGAAGGACCACTGATTATTCACCAACCCAGAGTCACTAGGACTGATGATGCTGCAGGAGACATTTGTCTGTTCAGCCTTCCAGAGCCACGGGCAAATGGATTTGACTGAAATTCAAGGCTAACGCTAAAAGTTGATCCATTTTGTAGTTTTCCCACCACAGGAATTACTTTTCTCGCTGTACATGACTGTAAAAATCTATGTCCTCTCATGGTGTCAGGTAGTCCACTTTTGTTTCTGTTTGGGGCCCACACCTGGAGGTGCTCGGGCGCTACTCCCAGTTTAACACTCAGGTTTCATTCTAGTTGTGCTTGGGGGTCCACATGGCATACCAGGAATCAAGCCCTGGGCTCCAGTGTGCAAATTGATCAACATCCTGCTTTCCTGTGAAAGCTAATTTTTCCTTCCTTTGGTTGTGTGATTTATCCTCACTGTTTCCTTTTGAGTTTACCCTTTTCTTTTTTTTCTTTCTATTTTTTGTTTTTGTTTTCGGCCTATACCTGATGGTGCTCTGCACTCCGGGATCACTCCTGGAGGTAACTGGGGGACCATATGGAGTGCTGGGAATAGAACCCCAGTTGGCTATATGCACGACAAGCACCCTACTTGCTGTACTCTCATTCTGGTCCTTGAGTTTACCCTTTTCTATTATATTAGATTTAGAATTCCTCCGCCCCTCTCGGAGAGCCCGGCAAGCTACCGAGAGTATTCGATATGCCAAACACAGTAACAACAAAGTCTCCAATGGAGATGTTACTGGGCCCGCTCGAGCAAATCGACAATTTAGAAAGAAATCCAAAATGCTTAAACTGTACACACATACAGATACATACATATCCACATGCTCACATATATGTAAGGATTGTTTTTTCTTGAGGTGCTGGGGAGATAGCTGAAGGGGGCAGAGTGCATGCCTTACATGCAGTAACCCCACATTTGGTCCCTGGCACTGCGTGTCCCCTCCCCTCACTCCACAAAAGATGTTGAAAACTTGTTTTCCTTCAGAAGAAATGACTTGGTCCTTCTCAGAAGAAAGAAATATTCATGATGCCCCTGTGCTGATAGTCGAAAGTTAGCCACAATGGCCTTGAAACCAAAATAGTCTGAGTTAAAGTTCTCAAAGCAGTTCTCACACAGCTCCCTCTTAGCTTCTGTGTTTTCTGCCATGTGTTTAAATGAATTATCTTCTGGAATTCCTCAAATCCCAAACACATAGAAGATGGAATCATTCATACTGTTCTTTGTAAAGTTCTTTTTTCCAAGTTAATCTCTCCTCCCTCTCTCTCTCAAATGACTTATCACTTGCATATCAGAAGAACACTTTTTGGTTAGAAATGCTCCCGACTTTAATGGGTTTGCAAGCTTTCCAGGAATGGGCTGTGAGTGTAATTCAGTGGTAGAGCACTTACGTGTTTTGGTGTGTGAGGTCTTAGGTTGTGTCCCTGGCACCAGAAAAGAAGAAAAAAAGCCCAGCTTTTTGATATTTCTTTGATGGGTGCAATTTACTCAGGAATAGAACATTTGCCTTACATATGTGAGGCTCTGGATTTGAGCCCTGGTGCCACACACACAAAAAAATAATCAAATAAAAAGGCTTCCTACAGCCAACTGTGGACAGAATTTCTAGCCTTTCATATATCACATTGAAGGCCCAGTTCTCAGGGATGAGCCAGAGTCAGCGGAGGAAGTATTATTTCTTGTCATTCTACTCTACTCTGTTCATCCTTTCACTCATCTGGCAACAGACTCTAGAGGGTCTCTGAGGGCCAGAACTTATTTATTGTTCTCTTGTGTCCTCCTCCTTCTCATCCATCACCCCCATGCTGACTGTATCCAATCTGTTGCTCCTGGACCAGCATGCAGAGTGAACTACTTCAACCACTCACTGGTCTCATTCTGTTTTCTTGGGTCTCTGCCTTCCTGCTCTTCGTCTATGGTCACTCCTTTCCTTGGCCACTGCTTTTGCCAAAGGATCCCAGAAAACTTTTCCAGAAAAAAAAAAGTCACATAGCATTGTCTGATAAATGGCTTCACCCAAAGTGTGTACCACTTAGCTGTAGATGTGCCTTCATGGCTACTTCATATTCCTTTTAATCAGTTCATGTACACTCCTTCCCCTGCCCCACCTCTGGTACCAGGGACTAAACTCAGGGCCTCACACGTGCAAGGCAAGTACCCTACTGCTTAGCCCTAGCCCCAGCCCTCATTCACATTCCCCATACATGCACTAAAATGCCAATTCATCACTTTCCCATGATCCTGTTTGCTAGTTCCTGAGTAACTAGGCCATTCCACATAAGTTTCCTTGGTTTTCCTTCATTTTCCTCCTTTCTCCCAAGGCTGCCTACCACCTCCTATTTCACCTCCGTCATCCACTGCTCCTAGTCATCCCTTTTCTTAATGAGATGCTGCCTCTCTTCAGAGTGTTGGTAATATTTTATGCTCTTTCTTTATGAGACCTTCCCATTTCCCCTGTCTATTCTAGCCACCTGTATTTTACAATATTGGATTGAGGGACTATTTTTTTTTTTTTTTTTTTTGCTTTTTGGGTCATACCCGGCAATGCACTGGGGTTACTCCTGGCTCTGCGCTCAAGAGTTACTCCTGATGTTGCTCGGGGGACCACCATATGTGATGCTGGAATCAAACCCGGGTCGGCCGCGTGCAAGGCAAACACCCTCCCCGCTGTACTATCACTTCAGCCCCGAGGATTCAGGGACTTTTGGCGGCAGACAATCTTCACCATCATATCCTGTGCCCAGTGCAGCAGGAGTTCAGTGAACAGTGCAGGATTGAAAGAGACAAGCGAGGCAGGAGAATGATTCTTCTTTCCCTTCATTCCTGTGATCAGCAAACACAGCGACTGTCTTCACATTCTGTTCTCTTTTGTTTTCTCTCCTTCTGGAGTCACATAGGCCCCTCTGTGAGTGCTGCCCTGCCTTCACCCTCCCCATGCAGGTGGCCATGGGCGGCACATTCCATCTGGAAACCATTCCTGCTGCCAGCAGTGCCTGGGAGAACCACTGGCTGCAGAATTCAAACACAAGCCTTCAGACAGGGCTGTGGGTCAGGATGTGGGTGGTGGAATTTGAGGGAGGGAATATAGACAGAAAACTGAGGGACTGGCCGAGTACAAAACTACAGACCTTCGGAGGAATGACCCTGGAGGAAATGACCAAGTCAGGGAAATGGCCAGGCATAGATCAGAGTGATATACAAGGAGGGGAGTCACACTCCCTGTTCTCAGGTAGGCTCTTGGAGGAACTTCCTGGTTGGTCCTTGCCTGGCTGTGGCATTCATTGTGTTTTTTTCACTTACCTAAAGTCCCCTGCATGAAGGAGGACATGGTCTCAGCCCAAACGTTTGCCAGATATTTTAGGGGATAGTAGGTGCTTGCCTTATTCCTCTGGGTTAGTTTTTCTTGAGATCTAAAGCTGGAGTGATAGCACAGTGGGTAGGGCATTTGCCTTGCATGCGGCCAACCCAGGTTCGATTTCTCTGCCCCTCTCAGAGAGCCTGGCAAGCTACCCGTGATGTATTCGATATGCCAAACACAGTGACAAGTGTTCACAATGGAGACGTTACTGGGCCTGCTCGAGCAAATCGATGACCAATGGGAGGAAAGTGACAGTGACATTGAGATCTAAAGAAGTTACTGGTAATCATGTGTGTGTGTGTGCGCGCATGCGCATGCATGTGTGTGTACGTGTGTGCATGTGTGTGTGTGTGTGTGTGTGTGTGTGTCCTGAGTAGTGGAGCAGAAGCATATACTATTATAATAGCTTTACAAGCTCTTTGTCTTTGCAGGCTTATTTTGCAGAGGGAGAAGCACTTTCATTATCTGAAAAGAGGCCTTCGACAGCTGACAGATGCCTATGAGGTAAACACACTGCCCAGGAGTTCTTTCAATCCAATTATCCCCCAGATCTTTTTCCTCCCCCAACATCCCCCACCACTACTTGAATGTAAGAGACTGAGAAGCCTGACTGTGGTAGCCTCACTTATCTGACCTTTCCCTCCCTCTCTCCTCTCTGCTCTCACTCTCCCACCCCTTCCAGAAATCCAGATTTCAATGTGCATCTCCCAACATGAAAGTGTTGCAACCAATTCCAGTGAAACAAAACCTTACAAAGAGCAAGCAGAGCAGTCATGGACGGACTTCACCTTGGGTTCTCAATTTTCAATCCTTGAATTTAGTCTTTCTTAATGAGGGTCGTGTCAGCCCTGATACAATTAACACAGCAATCATCAACAATTCATTGTTAAAGGCATTATCTCACTTCATCATAAACTACTCCCTGAGATAAGTAGGCCTATATATATTTTTTTATAGATAAGGAAGCAAGCGTAGCAAGATGAAGTAATTGGCTCCAGGGCAAATAACCAGAGGAGAGGCTGGTTCTTATACCTGGGCAGGCCCAGTGGAGAACAGTGTCTCCATTCACCAGGCCAGCTGCCCCCAGCCGCAGCTTGCCACTTCTTGGCATGGTCAGCACATTTACAGAGAGGGCACCTTGGATTGGGAGTCCAGAAATTAATGTTCTTGTTCAGCTCTCACATTGACTGTCTTTATTTTATTTTTAAATTTTTTTTTGGGAGGGGGAAGAACACCCAGAGATGCTCAGGGGTAACTCCTAGCTCTGAGCTCAGGAATCACTCTTAGCGGTGCTACGGTGACCATATGGGATGCTGGAGATAGAACCCACATCAGTAGCATGCAAGGCGTGTCCTACCTGCTATACTATCTCTCCAGCCCCTGACTGTCTTTATAACTTGGAAAAGTTATTATCTCTGGACTTCCTTTCTATATTAACATTGGGGACTGAGTGATATCACCTGTCTGCCTGGCCTGAATATTCACTCCCTGGTCAGGGCTTGATCAGGATCTTTTCCCATCTAACTGTTCTTTCAGAAGCCTTTCCCAGCTTCCCCCAGAGATGTAATCAGTCCTTTTTAGGCATGCCCTCAAGATTCTATTTCTGCCCTTATGCATTTTTTCCCCAAGCGTAAGTAGGCAGGTGTTACTTTCCACCTGGTTCCAGAAGGACATTTGGCATTTGAACTTGCATCTCTGGCTGGTATCCTTTCTAACCATATACTTTCTGTATATCTCAAGCATCTCAAAAGTAAAATTCATTCCTTACTCCTTGGCAGTCACATCCACACCCCAAAGTGGCCACACAACTAAAAAGCTACTCCAGCCTTACTGTCCTGATAAAAATACTGAATGCCCTGAACAAACACATGACCTCTTAGCACCTGTACTGCAAACCATAATGCACAAAATGAAAAGGAGAGAGAGAGCAAGAAGGATAGTGCCTCCCATAGAGGGAGGCTGGGGATGAGAGGATGGGGGGTTGGGGGATAGTGGTAGGGAAACGGGGAACATTGGTGGTGGGAGATGTACACTGGTGGAAGGATGGGTGCTGGATCATTGTATGACTGAAACCAAATTATGAACAGCTTTGTAATTGTTTATCTTATGGATATTCAATTAAAATTTTTTTAAGAAGTAATGTGGAATTCCACAGCGGGTAGGGCATTTGCCTTGTATGCAGCCAGTCAACAGACCCAAGTTCGATTCCTCCGCCCCTCTTGGAGAGCCCGGCAAGCTACCGAGAGTATCTCGCCTGCATGGCAAAGGCTGACAAGCTACCTGTGATGTATTTCGATATGCCAAACACAGTAGCAACAAGTCTCACAATGGAGACGTTACTGGGCCTGCTTGAGCAAATTAATGATCAGTGGGAGGGCAGTGCTACAGTGCTAATGTGGAATTCAGGCTCAATTCAATTAGCTTAATCAATAGCTTGAATAAATAGCAGTACTCCTACATTAAATTACAAAACAACAACAACAACAACAAAATAAAAATTTATTCATTATTGTACCCCAGAGATTTAATTTAGTGTGACAGAAGTAAATTCTTACTACCTGTTGTGGTGGTAGTGCTGGTGCTGGGGGTGTCACACGCAGTGGCGTTGGGTATGGAGCCCAGGACCTCACACATGAAGGCATGTGCTCTACCAGATGAGCCACATCCCAGCCTACTCCTTCTTTTCTGAATCAGTGAATGAGTAATCCATGCATCCTTCCTTGGGCTGGGGAGATAGCTTGAGCACATCCCCAGTACGTACGCAGTCCTGAGTTCTGTCTCTACTATCATACACACCCCCACCAAAAACTGACAGGTGTTCCCCCTGTTGAAAAACCAAAGAATCCCTTCTTGAGGTTATCCATCTTGTTGGGTAGGGTTAGGGTTAGAGTTAGGGTTTGGGTGGGAAGGACCCATAGGGTTCCAAGTAAACTCTTTTTTTTTTTTTTGCTTTTTTTGGGTCACATCTGGTAATGCTCAGGGGTTATTCCTAGTTCTGTACTCAGGAATCACTCCTAGTGGTGCTCAGGGATGCTGGGATGCTGGGAATCGAACCTGGGTTAGCCACGTGCAAGACAAACTCCCTACCCGCTGAACTATCACTCCAGCCCCCCACGTAAACTCCTATGCCCCATTGTCTGTTTTTCACATATGACCTTGCTCATGGCCAACGCAAAGTGCCCTTCATTCATGTATTGTTGCTCACAGAGTGCCCTATCCCCCCTTCGCCAGGCTGCTGAGGTTGAGACAGATGTCGCCTTGTCAGCGGTATCTTGGAATGATTCTGAATAAGGGGTGTGTTTTCTCCCCTGTCCCTTTCGCAGTGCCTGGATGCCAGCCGCCCATGGCTCTGCTATTGGATCCTGCACAGCTTGGAGCTGCTCGACGAACCCATCCCCCAGATGGTAGCGACAGAGTGAGTGGGGCTTGTTGGGGGGGAACCCGAGGGTTCTCTGAAAGTGCAGTTGAGGCTGGGGTTCTCTTTGTTTTGTTCCTGATTTTGAATGGAAGATGGTGCTTCACAGGCGTCCTTGCCCTTCTCTTGACCTCCAGTAACTTCCTGAAACTCCTCCACGTTAGAAGCCTGGTGTAAACCCGTGGGTGTAACAAGACTTTGAACTCCCCAAGAGAAGGGTTTCTAGTTTCTTCTATGGCCTTTTCTTTTGGCTCTTGCTCTGGTCTTTGAGAAAAGTCTTTGTCATCAACTCTGAGAGGGACAATTTTTCCAGAAAGCACAGTATGAGTTTGAATCGCTTGTGTGGGGAAGTGTGTGCCAACCGAGTGAACAAAAATGCCTTTGCCTTCCATGAGCAGCTCCCTAAAGCCCACCAGTTCCTGGGGGACCATATGACTCTTGATGGATATATTACCAAGTTGGTGTGCATAGGCCATAGCTTACTGTCTTCCTAAATTTCTGATTTAGGATTAAATATCTAAGTAAATCAAGATTCTTCCCAAACTGTTCGTGTCGTTGGTATAGCACCTCAGCCGCAGAAGCTGATTTGTAATTTTTTTTATTGTCGTTATTATTGTTTGTGTTTGTCTATGTTTTGGAGCACACACAACTGTGCTCAGGGCTTGTTCTTGGTTCTGTGCTCAGGGATCACTCCTGGTGTTGGTTGCAGGGACCATATGTGGTGTTTGGGTTGGTAGCCTGCAAGGCAAACTGCCCCCTGATGACCCCTCTGTATTCCCTCTCTCTGACCATCATTTGTATTTTGAAGAAGGAACTGATTCTCCTCACCGGGGTAGGAAAAGTGCAGCTAGAAACCAGGTCTGAGAGCCAGTTCTCAATAGTGAGGGCAGGGACACTGGGAGGGCAGCCCATGAGCCAGGTCTGTTTCCCCATTGCCCGTGGAGGCAGCTGTGCCAGGATGCACGGAGGCCAATCCATGCCCCTCTCTGGTCACAAGTGCCCTGCCTCAGTTACACTGTCAGGTCAGAACAGAACCACACATTGTCTCATTCATTCTGTCTTAACAATAACCTCTCATTCTCTCCTTCCTGGGCAGGATGTCTTGTGATGAATGTGGATAGGGAAGATAATGAAGAATTAGACCATTAACTCTTGGGGTGTGGACGCTGCTTTGGAAGTCAAAGGAGGAATACGCATTGTCCCCTCCTGGCCCGGTGCTACTGCCAGCCCAGTTGCTGCTGGCTCTGAAAGTAATGTTGGGCACAGTTTCTGCAGTAACAGGAATTTCATTGTCAAAAGAAAGGCCCGTGTGTTTTTTGAAATACCAGTTGGGGGCTGTGGATTGTTCGGGCCGTTTCCCTCCCCACACATTCCCATTCAGGATGTATTCTTGGGGGAACGGGAGAGCTGACAGAGAAGCAGAAAGAAAGGGGAGGATTCTGTGAGAGTGAAGGACAGGGGCCCCAGGGAGAGGACTTGGAACTGTGTAGAGTTGGAGATGCGACTTCTGCTCTCCTGAAGCACATGCAGTCGGTCCCCCATGGAATCTGAGCTGCTCGGGAGGTACCTGGGGATTTCTCAGTAAGGCTTTTCTGAGAAGCAAATTCAGTGTGTATTCAACATCGCATAGGACCAGATGGCTCCCCCCTTCCCCCCCCAGGTCACTTTGCAGTTAACAATTGGGGATTGGGGACAACCCAAATATCAACAGTAGGGGGCGCTTAAAATGTATGTAAAGTTTACATTTTTGTGGAATACACATAAAGTAGTGCTATAGTGCTATTTTAAAAGTATACATACATAGATCACTCTCTCTCTCTCTCTCTGTCTCTCTCTCTCTGTCTCTCATTGTCTCTGTGTGTATGTGTCTGTCTGTTTCTTTTCCTCTATATATTTGTAGGCATCATGATCTCATTAACATCAATAGATGCTTGGAAACTGCAACTTGAAGCGCAGAGAAACCAATTTACCATGGGCTAATTGATATAAATAAGAATTCAATTCCTATTACAATTTTTGACTGAAAAACCATTATCAAATTTCTTTTTTTCCCTCAATTTTTAAAATAAAAATTCAAGGCACTTCTGATATTAATTGATAGTTTGTAGACATTGTCCATCCGTCCATCCATTCATTTCTAGTTCATGCTTGTGGGTGGTCAGGGCCTCTCTTGCAGCTCAGGTGCAAGGTGGGAACCATCCCTGGACACACACTCATACTGGACAGTTTAGAATCAGCAGAGGACCCAACACCCACACCGTCAGGAGTGGGAGAGACCAGAGTTCATGGCAGAAGGCCACATAGGTCTGGAGAGAATGTGTGAGATTCTGCAGTGGCCAGTTACTTTTCCCAGATCCACATTATAACAACAAAGATGTTATCCAAGGGTCAGTGCTATAAAGGTAGTCATGAAGACGGACCTGAGTGATAGTACAGTGGGTAAGGCTCTTGGATGGTTGCACATATCCAACCCAGATTCAATCCTCAGCAACCCGTATGGTTCCTTGAGCTTGCCAGGAGTCATTTCTGAATGCAGAGCCAGGAATAAACCCTGAGCACTGCTGGGTGTTACACAAAAACAACAAAATATATAGAGAAATGTTCATATTTTTAAGTGGGAAGAGGTGATTTTGAAGTTTTAATTTTCCATGTTTATAAATCTCTAATCATTTTATAGGTTTCAAATATAGACGATTGCATCAAAAAACAAAAAACAAAAAACCCTGCAGGGTCTGCCAAGCTAGTACAGTGGGTAAGGCACTTACCTTTCATGTGGTTGATTTGGGTTTGATCCCCAACATCCCTTATGGTTCCCCTGATCACCACCAGGAGAGATTGGTGAACACAGAGCCAGGAGTAAGCTCTGAGCACTGCTGGGTATGGCCCCCAAACCAAAACCAAAACCAAGCAAGCAAAAAGAAAACCAGAAGGTTTAGACACTTACATGCTTATAGTTATATTGGATGATGGGGTTAAAGATGATTTCTTTTTTAAAAACTTATTTCCATTTTCTAAAATTTCTACAATGAACCTTTACTATTTTATAGTTAAGAGCATGTTATAAAAGTAAAATTCTAGGGCCCAGAGGATGACTCAGTGGCCAAGAGCACTGTTGTGAGCCTGAGAGTGCTGTTGCTGTGACTTGGTTGTCTGGTTCTGCAGCCATGTGTGTGATCTACTGTCCTATAGCCAGGTGTGAGCAAGCATGGTGGCTGAAATGTGATTCCCTCAGTGAGGACTGCAGCTCAGAAGTGGTGCAAGAACCAAGGCCAAGTGTGTGACCTGCAGGGAGTGTTAGAACCAGAACGTGTGAAAGGAGTGCAACCCAGTGGGCATGTGCTCAAGCACTGCTGCTAATGTGTGTGAGCCCAGGGACCATCACAATCAAGCATGTGTGCAATGCCCCCAGTCACCACCACAAAGCAGCAGGGAAGAGGGAGGGGCAAAGGCTGTTTTGTTCTGATTTCTTGGTAATGATTGACTGAGGATTTCTGCTTTGTAGCTGCCTTAAAAACTCCTGTGATTCTTCTAAGTGGTGACTTAACAGACTTTGAAAGAAATATTTAATTTGTCAGTAATGTATTTGATTTTATCTATAATAGGCAGTTCATTCTAGGGATAGTAGTCTGATCTATGAGGAAATAAACTACTTTTTTTTTTTTTTTTGGCTTTTTGGGTCACACCTGGCAATGCACGGAGGTCACTCCTGGCTCTGCACTCAGGAATTACCCCTGGCGGTGCTCAGAGGACCATATGGGATGCTGAGAATCGAACTCGGGTTGGCTGCGTGCAAGGCAAACGCCCTACCCGCCGTGCTATTGCTCCAGCCCCTAAACTGCTTTTAATTACAGAAAAATCTTGAAGATTTCTATTGAGATATGAGGAATTGTTTTAGACTATTCATATAGGTTATTGCCTTTTTATATATTTTAATTCTGGAGTTTTGAGGGTTTTTTCCCTGTTCTCTTCCCCCACTCTGCACCTAGTGTGTGGACACACACACACACACACACACACACACACACACATCCCTTTCTTTCTCTACTGTTTTGTCCATTGTTGCGCTTTTATTTATTTAGAGAATAATATGACAACTGAGTTCCCTCTAGTGGACAAAATCACTTTCATCAGCTGCTTTGCTCGCTGACTAGAGCCAGCAAGTTCAGGTTTTCACAGCTGTCTTTAAATCTTTCCAGAATAATAATAATGTTCATCAGTAGGAATCTGGAGATTGTGCTCTTAAATTTTTGTTTACCTAAGCAAAAACTGTGCTAGAACCAGCAGAGGGCCCTTTCCTTCACTCAATGACGCTAGCCCCGAAGGAGAGATCCTTTAATGAGAGTCTCGTGCTCTGCTATTGAAAGATCATTTGGAGCCACAGGGAGTAAAGGAAAACCACTGCTCCGTAACTGTTAGGTTTTCAGTTTTCATAAGATTCAAACTTGCCTTTAACATTAAGACTTTTTGACTCACAACATTTGACAAAGACAAATTCAAATGTTCTTCCTTGAATTTTTCTTTTGACTTTACTTTCAAAACGATGCTTGTATCTTTTCCCCTGAATAGTTCCTTAAATAATTTTTATTCAGGAAAAATATGGTTTATACCACTGTGTAGGTTTCAGAGGAATAGCACTTTCTTCAAATGCACACACCACACTTGCCACCAATCATTTAGTTTCCATCTGCTACTAACTAGCTGACCCCCTTGCCCTTCTTCTTCTTCTTCCTCTGGTAACCACTACTGTGTTTCTAGTATCTAAGTTTTACGTTTGCTTTGTTTCTTAGTATTCTGCATGAGTGAAATCGTATGGTATTGATCTTTCTCTTTTTCATTTAAATATCACAACAAAAATCCCCTCAAGGTTCATTCATGGCATATGTGTGCATTCGTGCATGCATGCATGTGTGTGTGCGTGTGTGTGTGTGTGTGTGTGTGTGTGTGTATGTGTGTGTGTGATTGAACCAAGGACCTCACACAGGCAAGATGTACTCTACCACTGAGTCACATCCTGCCTCATGTCCAGTTTTAAATTTAAATATTCTGTGTGTCTTCCCTTACTTTTCTATGAGGACACCATGACAAGCCATTTATCTTCTGGGCATTTTTGACCAGGTTCTGCTGCCTGAGTAGAGGTCAGTGGTTGTATGTAATTTGCCTCTACTGGACAATTCTCCTCCCAAAGAATCTGGCCCACAAAGTCTGCAGTGCCAATATGGAGAAGGCCTGCTCTAAAGCAGCCAACTTTGACTTTGACCATACTTCCAAAACCACAGTATTCAGAAGATTACCTGAGCTTGATGAAGAGTCATATGACATATGCACTCTTGGCAGTAGGGCCTCCTGGGATCAGCAGAGAAGCGTGCCTGTCTTTCAGCTGTTCTTTGCTGTACGCTCTCTGGGGAGGGCATTTTCCTTCCCCAGTGTATGAAGCTGGAGCTGTTTTACACCATGACATCTGGAAGACTTAGGACTAGAACCCAATCAGTGTTAACTCACTCATCCTGCACTTGCATCTATTCCTAAGCTATTTTGTTCAACGACAACTATTTTGGCCTCCAAAAGCCTATATACTTTGCAATTTATTCACATGTTTTTGTTTCAGACTTTCTAAGATTTGGGCCGAGGAGATAATTCAGAGGGCTGGAGTTTATGCCTCACATGAGAGAGCATTCCATAGGGTCCCCTGAGCACTGCCAGGGGTAATTCCTGAGTGCAGAGCCAGGAGTAACCCCTGCACCACATAGTTGATCTGAGCTCTGCCTGAAATGACTCCTGAGCTGGTAGTGACCCCTGAGTACTTTGCTGTGTAGTCCCCTCAAACCAAGAAATAAAAAACAAAACAGAACTGTTGAGAATTCTGCGAATGACAATTGGTAATCTGGGGGTCATTTGCTAGTTCCTTTAGGTTCGAGATGGACTGCCTCTGGTTCAGAATGTTCTGTAATATGAAAGTGCGTGAGAGTCCAGCAGAGTCCAGTCTTGTTTCCCAGCAGAGCCCCACTGGCAGATGCAGCCGGTCAGCTGAGGGAGGTTGGCATGGAGGGCTGAATTCAAGGTGTCCAGTACATTCAGATCCCAGCTCATTCCAGACTTTAGGCTATGGGGTCAGGATTGTTGTACTCGGCACGATTCTATCTTGGGAATTGGGAAAGGAATAGATATCTAGGTGACTCTTTCCCCCCCGTTCTTTGTTTGTATGTGTGCTGTTTTATATCATCTAAAAATCTTCATTTTTGTGACACAGAAAAAAATTTAGTGTGTTTGTTAGAATGATTAAATTTTTTTTTAGAAATGAATCTGTTAGTTTATGGTATTAATATAAGAATTGAAGAAGTTTTGGAATATATTATGAGCAAACTATTTTTTCCTATGAAAATTAATTGCTACTAAAAAGGTGTAGAGATGGACTGAAGCCATAGTACAGCAGGTTGGGCACTTGTTTTGCACAAGTGCCAACCCAGGTCGGTCCTGGCTTCCCATATGGTCCCCTGAGCAGACTAGGAGTGATTCCTGAGTGCAGAGCCAGGAGGAACCCCTCAGCACTGCCAGGTGTGTCCCTGCTCACTACTACCACCCCCTGCCTCCCCCCAAAAGGTGCAGAGAACTGTCTTCCTTTTCTGATAGTTCACTTAGTTTCTATTTTTATTCTTCTTCTTCAGAGTAAAATGTTAGGGGCTGGAGAAATGTGAGGAGGGTATTTGCCTTGCACAGGGCCAACCTGGGTTCAGTCCCTAGCATCTCATATGGTCCCCCAAGCAGTGCCAGGAGTAATTCCTGAATGAAGAGCCAGGAGTAACCCCTGCACACTGCTGGGTAAATCCCCCAAACAAACAAACAAACAAAAAGAGTAAAATTTTAGGTGCAAGAGATAAGACAGGAGGTAAGGCAGTTGCCTTGCATTCAACCTCTTAGACCAATCCTGGTTTATCATTAGTGCCACATGGGGTCTCCTGAATACCGCCAGGGGTCTCCTGAGCACATAGCCAGGTATAACTCTTGAGAATTTCTAGCAGTGACACCAAAACAACAAAAACAAAACAAAATAAATATTTTTATTTATGTTATTGAATCATCAGGTCACCATGAGATATAGTTACAAAGCTTTCATGATTTCCAGTCCAACAAGGTTTCAACACCCATCCCTCCACCAGTATACATTTCCCACCACCAATATCCCCATGTCCCTCCTGCCACTACCCCGCAGCCTCCATCTATGGCAGACACTTTTCTTCCCTCAGTCTCTGTCTCTCTCCTTTTGGGCATTATTGTTTGCAATACAGATACAAGAAAGAAAGGCCATCATGTTTGCAAGAAAGGCCATCATGTTTGGTCCTTTACCTACTTTCAGCTCATCTCCCATCCGGAGAGATCCCCTCCAACCATCGTTGTCATAATGGTCCCTTCTCTGGCCCAGCTACCCTTTGCCCCCAGCACTGGAGGCAGGCTTCCAACTGTGGACCATTCGCCCTGACCCTTGAAGAAATATTTTTAGCTGCAAGTGGAAAGAATTATCTTTTGTGTCTTTTTTTCCTCCCACTTGCAGTGCTGGGAATTGAATCCAGGGCCTTGCACAGGGAAGGCAATTGCTCGACTGCTGAGCTCCATCCTAGCCCATAAGTACTGTTCACTGGTGGAGGTCTTAGGACTCTAGTAGTTACTCAGCAGCCTTTGACTTTCAGATGGAAGGTCTGAAGTCAGAAGTTCTCAAACACGGTGCTGGAAAGCATTTCTTAACACGTGACTTTGGGGAGCTGCATCAGGCTCTGCGGGCTCCCGAAGGAGGGAGCTGAGAGGAAAGCGGCCTCTCAAGTTCTCAGAAGCACACAGGGGAGCAGCTTCCTGGCCCGAGAGGAAGCCTGTCATCCCTGCTGAGAGACTGGGACACGGCCTGATAACTGGGATTTCCCAAGGCACGATTTGGGGGAAATCGGGGCTTTCTTAGTTTCACCTGAAGCAAGAATGTCACTTCTAGGCAACCCAGTGTCATGCTTGGAGGCAAACCCTCCATCAACAGTTTCCCTTTGGAGTTACCTGGAGCGTTTTTTTGGGGGGGTGGGTAGTAGTGAAGGGATCACCTCTCCAGGTGTTGTTTAAGAGGTCTGTGCACCATGTTGGCAATTTGCAGCCAGGCCAGTAATTCAGTGGGAGAGCCTGAGGGTGTGTTGCTCTAAGACCCTGCAGTGCTAGGAATACTGCCTCTCCCCCGCCGCCCCCCCCCCCCACCCACCCAAACACACTAGGCCACACCTGGCGGTGTTCTGGGCTGTCCCTTGTGATGCTCAGAAACCACATGACACTGGGAATTGAACCCAGTCCTCCCATGAAGCATGTACCCAACCTGGGGCGTCTGTGGATTAGTGTGAAAAAGTCTCTGAGCCCCACGGGCTTGAATGTGGTCTTAAGAGACACTCATCCACAGAAGCTCCAGTTTGGGCACATGGAGTCAGCTCAGTTGGTGCATCCGGCAGAATCCTACTGCTCTCACGTTCGGTTACCTGTGGTGGCCGATTCCAGTAACTTGTGCCTTGACAGTGAGTAGAATAAAAATCAGTATCTCCCTGGGGCATAGGTGGTGAAGGGAGTGGAAAGGTTTCTCCATATCTATTCTTCGTAACAAGGCCTGGTGATGAATCTAGACCAAGCCTATCATTATGTGGAGAAGCAGTTAGAAGCCAAATTCAAAGCCTGGGAGGTCCCTCAAAGGCAAGGAGGAAAGGCTAACACCACAGATCTCAGCTGGCAAATTGAGTGCAAAGTATGGGAAGTGTTTGGTGAGAAGTGTGAGCCTTCCCCTCAGCTCTGTGAAAGGCGCTTTGCTTCTTCCTGGCAGGACATTCTCTGCTTCACGACAAGGCAAACACTTGAAAGCAAAACTCTGTCAGAGGGCACAGAGACAAAGAGTCCCGCCCTCTTTAGCCTGTCTTCTCAGTGGAAAGAGGTTCTTTATAAGCAGGGAGGGATCATCAGAAAGGCACGGATTCTGTAGAATTGGGTGTTGGTCCATTAATGCTCTCTGGCTTTGTTTTCCCCTTTGACTGTGTCTCCAGTGTGTGTCAGTTCCTGGAACTATGTCAGAGCCCAGAAGGTGGCTTCGGAGGGGGCCCTGGCCAGTACCCACATCTTGCTCCCACGTACGCTGCCGTCAACGCACTGTGCATCATTGGCACAGAGGAAGCCTATGACGTCATTAACAGGTACAGCCCAAACCAACAGGGACAGAAATCCAAAGGGTTCCTGCTTGCTGGCATGGCTCTGACCATTGCACCCTCCTGCCCCTCCCTCTTGTTTCTCAGAGAGAAGCTTCTTCAGTATCTGTACTCGCTGAAGCAACCTGATGGCTCTTTTCTCATGCATGTTGGAGGTGAGGTGGATGTAAGGTGAGTGGTTTTTTTCCTCAGGCTGCCACGTCAGTAGATTCCAGAGCTTCTCTGCCACTAGGGATGCCAGAGCTAAGGAGCAGTAGGGAGAAGCTGCTGCTCTCTCTCTCCCAGGATGGCATGTGGAATGCAGTGGGGAGTGGCTCATTAGCCCTGCAGATATGCCACAGGTGTCCCTAGGTGGCATAGTCACTTCCTCCTTGGGAGTGCCTCACTAGAAGTAGGTCGAAACAAAGGTTGAAACAAAGTCAGGAACTTTTATTTTATTTTATTTATTTTTTGGTATGGGGGCCACCTGTGGTGATGCTTGGTGCAGGGGTAGGGGTGGGGGGAGGGTTACTCCTGGCTCTGCATTCAGGAATTACTCCTAGGGTGCTTGGAAGAGTATCTGGGATGCTGGGACTCGAACCCAGGTCATCCGCATGCAAGGCAAGCTCCTAACCAGCTATACTATCTGTCTGACCCCTAACTGCTCTCTTTTTAAAAATTAAAAATACAGGGAGCCAGACAAATAGTGCAACAGGTAAGGTGCTTGCTTGTCTTGTATGCAGCCAACACAGGTTCAAATCCTGATACCTCATAAGGGCCTCCAAGCCTACCAGGAGTGATCCCTGAATGAAGAGCCAGGAGTAGAACTGTGACCACAGCAGGATGTGGCCCCCAAACCAAAATAAGTAAATTAAATTTATAATACTGTGCTTGGTATAAAATGCTACACCCTTATATAGAACCGCCATGGGTGTAATCTAATCCTTTGCTTTTCTAGAATAGAAAGGGAGAAGAGAGTCCAGAAGGGGTTGAGTAAATATTTGTAGCACAGAGCCAGAAATAGACCCCAAGCACCACTGGGTATGACCCAAAGCCACCCCAAAACTATTCATACCTTTTCTGAATGATTTTGAATAAATCATGAGAATGTATAGCACCCACCTGGAAATTGCTTTGAAAGGTGTAGAAACCCTTAAGGGCCAGTAGAGTGCAGTGTACTAACTGATTAGGAGCAGTTGGCTTCAAATGATCATTTTATGCAAGAATTTTTTGCTGTAACTAGCAAGTAGTTTACTTGCCAGGCAGGAGATTACTTATGAATCCTATAGGGAATTTGCTGAGCAAGATGTTTCTCAAAGAAAGTCTTTGAGTTGTACCAGTTTCTTAGTCTGAGAAATAAATTTTTTTGGCAAGGCTTCGCTATGACAGTCGTCTTATTGCCTGTTTGTAAATGTGTTTGCATCTACACAGCTGAATAATGTTCTGCTTCATAATTGATTTGAGAGCCGGGGAGATGACTCAAAGAACTGAAGCACACGCTTTGCAGGCAGGAGATGCAAATTTGATCCCCTCTACTGCATGGCCCCTAAGCCTTCCTGGGAGTAGCCCCTGAGGACTACAGGTGTGGGCCTAAAACCAAACAAAAACTAATTGGTTTGAAGGACTAGAAGGAGAAAAAAAAAATACATGACATAGAACACACTGCTGATTAGAGTGGATAACCAGACTGCGGGAGGCCCTGAAAAGGATTTTTGTCTATCTGTAATCCTTCTGTTCACACCATAGACTTAGAGTAAGCAGACACTGTTGAGCTGTGGAACATACGAAGCTGGTGCTGACTCTCCTCTCTGAACAAACATTCCTGATGCTCACGATCCAGAGTTAACATGGGCTGCACAGCATAATGGGATGAGCCCCACAGGACTGCTGCCACTTTAACCTGGTCATATGTAGTGCATCCCGGGGTACCCTCATTCTGTTCCATTGTCTAGGAATCAGCTATCCCTGTGACCCCTGCAGTTTTCTAGAATGACTCGCAGAATTTAGGGAAGCACTTTCCTGATGGTCAGCTCGTTAGGAAGGATGTTACTATGATACACATGCCCAGCAAGATGAGAACGTACACAGACAAGGTCTGGAAAGGTCTGGAAAGATCAGAATCTTCTTTCCCTGTGGGCGTGGGCTGGACTGTCAGAGCACACTGAACCCCTACATTCAGGGTTTAAATGAGGGCTCCATTAGGTCAGCACAGCTGATTAAATCAGTGATCATTGGTGATTGGCTCAGTTTCTATCCCTTCTCCCCTCCTCAGAGCTGTGTGCCAAGAATCAAGGACAAAGACCAAACTCAGATTTCTCCTTGTACTGCAGTGTCTGTGTATGCCAACAAAGCCAGCATAACCCCCAGAGAAGAGCTGCATCCTGTTGATCTTCTCATAGAAAAAGTTAAAATACTTTCCCCTTTTATAGTCTCTTCATTTCCATTCCTGTTTATCAACTTAGGAGTCACTTCCTTCTGCGTGGGGGACACAGAAGACTACCCTCCACCCTACCAGTGGATGCCTGAAATCACAGGACTTCAATGATTTCAACCCTTATAGACACTGTATTTTTTTCTGACACATGCATACCTACAATAACATTTAATTTGTAATGCCTGCAAGAGGTGAACAGAAATCTTAAATTAAAAAATAAAAATTGTAAAACAAAATTGACTATAGGGCTGGAGCAATAGCGCAGCAAAGAGAGTGCTTACCTTGCCCACAGTCAACCCAGGTTTGATCCCTGGCACCACAGTCCCCCGAACCCACCCGGATTAATGCCTAAGTACAGAGCCAGGAGTATATGCCTTGAACATCTTGACCACAGCTGGGTGTAGCCCCAATTTTAGTATTTTGTTTTTCACTATAATAAGAGTTATTTGAATGTTCTCTCTTTCTCTCACTACTGTGCATAATATTTTTGTTTCCTTTTTTAAAGTTCATACTCAGCAGTGCTGGAGATGCAGGGACACCCTATTAGAGCTGGGAGGAGAGTGGGGGATGTACCAGGGCTACAGCCTGTGGTGGCAGGGGGCATGTTATGCTGGGACTTGAACTCAGGGCTTTGAACATGCTAGGTATGTGCTCCACCACTCCAACTCTCTACCAAGCCCCTGTCATAATATTTTTGGATCATGTTTCAGTTACCTGTGAGAAGTGAAACTGTGGATGGGAACTGAGAGGGAAGTGCTACTGTATTCCAACCGCATAAACCTTGTCTTGAAACTTAGCATTATAAAACTTCCTGGAATTATTAGGCAAAAGTAAACAAACCCAAGTAAGATCACTTAGATATTTTTTATCACATCCAGTTTTCAGTTACGATTGTTCTCTATCTTATTTTCCCCAGCACCAGTTTTCTTCTGTGCTCTTACTCATTTCCACTAGATAAATGCTCAGAGCTCAGAACTTCTCCAATAAAACAGTTTTGTTCCACTGAAGAACAATATAGCTATATTCGTGTTTTACCTAGTGCCAAGCTTTCTACTGGCCTGGGATTCAAGAAACGAAGAATGAGTGAAACCTTGTAGATGGGATTCAGTCTCCTGGCTTTGCCTGGTTTCTGGCGCCTCAGTTCCTTCCTTTTACACCTGGTGCTTCTTTGCTTGACTTTTGTCTAGAAGCACTGGCTAGTGCGCAGTGCTCTCTGGGAAGTGAGTTTGACCTGAACTGCAATAGCAGTATGGGGTCTAGCTGCTTTCTGGGGTTAGATGTTGCAGCTGGGAGGTCTCTTGATCACCTCCCAGCTTGCCATGTCTCCCTCTTGTTTCTGAATGAGCTTGTTCCAGCATTATGACTCCCAGGTAAAGACAGTGACCAAATCTGAGTGAACTCAGAGCAAGCCCCAGGAGAATGATGCCTTGTTCCTGACATCCTGTTCTGTCGGCTGGAGTATTCTGCAGCAGTGGGAGAAACGGGGACCCAGCATTCACAGATGTTTTGGTGACTGAGCAAGGAGTTGTTCCAGAAAGAAGCTTCATGCAGCTAGACTGTGGCAGGGCTGGTGGGCAGTGAGGAGGTCAAATGGGAAAGACAGGTTGCCCCCAGAAAAAGGTGGCCTGAAACCTCCACTGGAACTGGACAGGGGAAAGCCATCCCCAGGTTTTAAGAAGGATGTGAGGTGCCTGATTATATTTTATTAACTGGAGTGTGTGGGGGTACTAGACAGAAGACTGATCCTATTAATAGTGATTTAGATTTGGGGGATGGAGAGTATGGGCAAAAAAGAAATCTGGGTTGGGGGGTGGGGGTTACCTGCTAGTGCTCAGGTGCTCAATGGACTGGGGTCGCTCCTGGTAGTGCTCAGGGGACTGTTGAATATTCAGGTTCGAACCTACATTACACAAAGCATACCCCCACCAACCTTTTGAGGTTTCACCCTAGTAGATACATTTGAGAGATGTGATGACCAGATGGAGAGAGAAGGAGAGAAAGAAACTGCATTGAGAAAATTTTGTATATGGGTCCTGGAATATGACTCAAAGCAGAGGAGCACATTCAGGGCCTATGTGAGTTCTTGAGTTTGATCCCCAGCACAGCATGATCCTTACAGCACCAGAGGGGGTGATTCTGGTGACCCCGCCACACGGCTGGGCTTCAAGCACTGTGGTGCCAGCCTGAGTACCAAACTTGACTGATTTTTGCTGGAAAGGCATCCCTGCCACCAGCAAGACTGGATGTAACTCTGTCAAAATAATAGCAAAACAGGCTGGAGACATTGTCCAGGGGTTCAGGCATTTGCCTAGCACAGAGCCAACTCCAGTTTGATTCCTGACTCTGCATATGGTCCTCTGAACATCAACAGAAATGATCGCTGAGCACAGAGCCAGGAGTAAGCTCTGAGCATTGTCTGTATACTAATAAGTCCTGAGGGAGCTCCATGCCTCTCCCAACACACACACACACACACACACACACACACACACACACACACACACACACTCACTCTCTCACTCTTAAAAATCGTATCTTGTTCCCTCCCTATCTCATTATGAGATCTAGAACTAGTGCTTCTGCCATTTCTTCTCAGTTTTTTTGTTTTTGTTTTTGTTTCAACGTCCAGCAGAGGACATTGCTGGCTGCCTCCCTCTCTCGGAGGTTACACTGGTTCAAGAGCAAATACTTTTGAACCTCTAGAGAGGTTCTGTAGGAAATGAGATCAGACCTTGGAAGTTAGTTTCTGGTGGATGCTGGCACTTGGCACTGCATGTGTGACTCCTGCGTGCTTCTGATGCCTGCTGCTCCCACTCTGTGCGCGGCCAGCGCGTGCAGCCTGGGGGAAGGACAGGGAGGCCGTCTGGCAGCTTCTCCAGAGCTTTGTTTGGAACACATCCTTAGTTCAGCCCAGCCTTACGTCTGTACCCAATATGTAGGAACCTGGACTCTCTTTGCCCTCTGTTTTGTATTCCTTAGGAGTGATTAGGAAAAGGATAAGCAGAATTAGAACAGGTTTTGTTTTTGACAAAAAATGAAGCTGCTGGGTATTTAAAATGGATGGAAAGGGAAGAAAAGGTGATGTGTGGGTAAGTTACAAAAGCAGAGAAGCTAAAATAAAACATGTCCCTTGAAGAATTAGGCGTTGCAGGACAACATGGCAAGAGTTATTCCAGACTGAATAGGATAATATAGAAAAAAAAAAAAAAGACTTGGTCTTTTTTTGTTGTTTTGTTTCAAAGTGTGTTTGTGTGTGTTTGCACTGGTGGGGTCCCATAGAAATGAAAATCCATTCTACCTCTCAAGGCCTGAGGAATATCCTGGAATCTCCTCATTTGTCCAATCCCTTTTGTTTGGTCCCAGTTCCCATGAGGACTTGGTTGCCTGCTTTGGAGTGAGCCTGTCACAGAGAAAAATAAAGTTAACCTTGAACATGTCCATGTCATAAGCAGGCAGAAATCCTGAACCTAAAGCAATTTTAACAGCTCATCAATGGCACTTTGGAATTTTGGGACCCATTATAAGATTTTAAGGAGCTAGAGAAGAAGAGCTCCATTTGCTTTCCATGGGGACTGGGGTTCCTGTTAGTTCCTCTGAGGTGGATTTGAGCATGTGGAGGTAAGGAGAATAGAATGTCATGTTCTTTTGCTGAAGCCATGCTGTGAGCAACTCTATCCAAATAGAACGTCAAAGCTCTCAGCTGGAGGCCCTGGAGGACTGGCCACAGGCCAAGAGTGAGGACAGGAGGTGATTACAGCTTGCCGGCCAAGAGTGCGATCACCGAGGAAGCTCAGTGAACCTTATTTGGCTTTTCCTGAAAGCTTAACACCTTTCCCCGCTATTTTTGTCCTTTCAGAAGTGCATACTGTGCAGCCTCGGTAGCTTCTCTGACCAACATCATCACCCCAGACCTCTTTGAGGGCACTGCTGAGTGGATCGCAAGGTGAGTGAAGCCGGGATGGGACCTGCTGCTTAGGCAGCAGATGGGCAAGATACCTGAAAAACAACACAAGTGAAAAGGAACTGGAAAGGAATATAAAATCACAAGAGATATGGTTAGAATGGGAGGATTGTGCATTATTTAAAAAATACACCAAGGTTTTTTCCCCCAAACTTTCTTTTTAAAAAAATTTTTTTAATTGAATCACTGTGAAATGCAGTTAAAAAGTCGTTCATGATTGAGTTTCAGTCAATGTTCCAACACCCATCTCTTCACCAGTGTATGTTTCCCAACACCAGTCTCTCCTAGTCCCAAACTTTCTTTAATATATTACAATTTAGATTGATTCAGTTGAAAAACCTGAGTATAGGTGTTTGTAGAGCCTGAATGAATGGACCAGTTGATAGAGCAACTTATCCCAACTCTGTCCTTGCTGCTGACACAGTCATCCCACTCCCATAGAACTATGCAGGGAAGTTGATAAGCATGAGATCTATTTATATGCACCTAATTAAAATATATATTGCTGGTAAAGGAATTGAATCCAGGGCCTCACGTGTGCAAGACTGCCACTGAGCCACATCCCCAACCCCTGATTTGTTCTTAATAACAAAAAGCTGGAAGCAGGTTATATGTTCTTAAGCATCAGACAGCTGTCATACTAGAATACGATATAACAGTTAAAATGAATGACTAGAATTGATGTAGGTAAATCTTGAAAACAATGTTGAGTACAAACAAAAAGACTTTCAAGAAGCATGCAGATTGTCACATTCACTTAAATTGTGAAGAAGTTCACAGTGATTCCATATTGTTGATATATGCTAATATAGAGATGCGTATGGCAAGTTTCAGGGTGGTGATTCTTTCTGGGAGCAAAGAAAAGGAGATCAAAGGAAGGCTACCCACCCGCAGGAGAGACTTCAGCTGTATCTTAGTTGTTCATTTCTTTAAAAACAAAACAAAAAACATAACCTGGGGCTGTGGCTGGCACTGTGCTCAGTGGTAGAGCACTTGCCTTACATATGTGAGGCCCTGGGCTTGCTCACTGGTCAACCTCATGGTTCCCACAGGAACTATGCTAGGAGAAGCCCCAGAGCACAGCCAGGTATTAACCACCCCCTCCCAAAACAAAACAAAAACAGGAACTAACAATCCTGAGTATATCTGGTTAACTCAAAGCAATGTTTGGTACATACTTGCTCTGTATATTACTCAGCATACTTTTCTGGGATTCTTCAAATTATTCATAATTTTTTAAAAAAAAGATACAGTAGTTATATCTGTGCTGTTATAGAATGCTAACAGTTCAAATTTGTTTGTTTTTGTTGTATAGTTTTTCAAAGTAGTTCTTAGAACTAAGCCAGAAGTTATGCTAAAATTAAATGTGTGTGTGTGTGTGTGTGTGTGTGTGTGTGTGTGTGTGTGTGTGTTGGGAATTGAATGCATCTCCTCATGTCTGTAAAGCATGTACTCTCCCTCTGAGCTCCATTGCTCACCCCTGTATTACTTTTTTGTACAACTTTTATTTTCCTGAAGTTAATAGGTAACCTCTCTCTCTCTCTGGGGAAAAAAAAAGGCATGTGCCATGAGCTCATTCTCAAATTATCTGCCAATGCTATAAAATTAAGCTTTGCTTTATTTGGGGGGAGCGGGGGCACATTTGGTCATGCTCAGGGATAACTCTTTGCTCTGTACTCAGGAATTATTCTTGGTGGTGGTTGGGGGACCAAATTGGATGCCAGGGGTCGAACCCAGGTGTGTAGCATGCATGGCAAGTGTCCTACCTACTATGCTCCTCTCCAGCCCCATAGAATTATTCTTAATACAGTCAAATGCTCCAGGTAACAAATTCATTGTGTGCCAGTGGGTCTGTGTTTGGGGGTTGATTTTCCTTTTTATTTGAGTCATCCCTCCTGGAGCCTGCTGCCCTCCTCTTCAATCTGCACAGATTGCTTTCAGCTTGCTGCACAGCAGGCATCCAGAAGCTTCCTTTCAGCATGAAATCAACTTCACTTCCCAGCATTGTGGGAACTCTGTCCTTTTTTTTTTGTTGGTTTGCTTATTATAAAGAAGCACATGCTCCCTGGGGAGATTCATTTTAAAGATCTTGCATTTAAAAGATCTTTATTCTGCTCACACTTTATTGTTTATTTGCTCAGAGATTTCAGAATTGGACAGTGAATAAATTGCATTTCTTCAGAGTTTCTACACATTGCCCCCTTGTCTCCTATCTCCTGCTGGCATTAATAAGATGGATTGTCTTAATAGCATTTATTGAGGACTTACTAAGTAGTACTCAATAGTAAAAGAGCTGTAGTTTTTCGATTGTACAGATTGCCTGGACTTTAAGCATATACATCTTTCCTGTTCCTCATCTGAGATGTCCTATCTTTTGATTCATTACAAGTATATTTTCTTTTATTTCACTGAGGTGAATATATAATTATAATGGCTGCTTTATACAATCTTCTCTGGTCATTTCAGTATCTGGGTATCTTGGAGTTGGCATGTTCCTTACTCTTCACATCTTGTAATTTCTTGTGGTGGGGACTGGATTCTGTTGCATTGCTCTAAAGACTGTTGATATCTTAATTTTAACAATATCAACTTGTTTGGACTGGAGCGATAGCACAACGTTAGGGCGTTTGCCTTGCACGCAGCCAACATGGCCGACCCGAGTTCGATTCCTCCACCCCTCTCGGAGAGCCTGGCAAGCTACCGAGAGTATCTCGCCCACACGGCAGAGCCTGGCAAGCTCCCGGTGACGTATTCGATATGCCAGACACAGTAATAACAAAGTCTCTAATGGAGACGTTACTGGGCCCGCTTGAGCAAATCGATGATCAACGGGAGGGCCTTTACCTTTACCTTTTATCAACTTGTTTAGCTACAACCCGAAAATTAACACGCAGGGTGTTGGAGATGGCCCAACCCTTTCACATTTGCTAGGTTCTATTATTTCTTTGACTATAACTTCCCTTCTCCCTTCTGCCTGTGTGATTTGGGGTTGAAATAGAAATCCTGAATGAGGAGACGGAGCCTTAGCACAGCAGGTAAAGTGTCTGCCTTGCACACAGCCATTCCCTGGCATCCCATATGGTCCCAGTGTACCGTCAAGACTAATTTTTGAGTGCAGAGCCAGGAGAAACCCCTGAGCATCGCCGGATGCACCCCCCCAAACAAAACGAAACCAGAGTGAGGTTTAGACATGAACATAATGTTTTTCGTCTGAGCTCTCATCTTTCAGAGAACCCACCTTTTTGTTGGAGAGGGGGTTCTTTTTTTTTTTTTTTATTCTTTTTTTATTAGTGAAACGCCATGAGGTACAGTTGTAGATTTACAATTTTTTGTGCTTGGATTTGATTATACAATGATCAGATACCCATCCCTCCACCAGTGCCCATTTTCCACCACCATGGATAATATCTCCCCCCCACCCCATCCCCCCATCCCCCCCGCCTCTGTGGCAGGGCAATCCCCTGTGTTCTCTCTCTCCTTTTGGGTGTTGTGGTCTGCAAAAGAGGCATTGAGTGGCAAATATGTTCAGTCCATAGTCTACTTTCGACATGCATCTCCCCTCCTGGGAGGATCCTCCAAACACCCTTTATTTGGTGTTCCCTTCTCTATCTGAGCTGCCCTTTCCTCTAGAATGCCCGACTGGCCACTAAGCTATGGAGGGAGAGGGGGTTCTTTTCGGAAGGATGGGGGACTTGATCTCTTAAGAGTCTCACTCAGAGGGCTTCAGCCAGCACTGGGGACCTGCCCGTGCAGTCTCCAGTTTGGAGAAAACAATAGAGGGGGAGGGACCCAGTGCCTGCTCTGTTCTGTCCAACTTTCAAATCCCCACCCAAATCAGCCAGTCTTGTTTCAGCCTGCTGGGCCCGCACGGCAGGAAGTGGTTCTCCTATATTTTGCCCAGAGTGCTAAGCTGTTATTTGTAGGAGAATATGTTTGTTAGGCATTTAGTAGGTTTGACTACCTAGCTTTATGCCTTGGAAAAGTTCCTTAACTCTCCTGTGTCAGCTTCATTATTTGGCAAGGGGTGGGATGTTGAATTTGATATTAAGCTGAAATACAAAGGGAAATAAGTGCCCAAACCTGTTGGGGTGACTCTGAGCTCTTGGACCTCCCAGGGCTGTTGTGGTTCCCCATCCTTTGTATGTTTCTGTTTTGTTTCTCTTTTTTTCCTCCCCCACCCTATCTCCCTCTGCTCAAGTTTTTGGATTCTGGTTCCTAGGAAATTTCATACTAATGAACTGCAACATGGAGTTTTACCATTTATTGTGCCTCTTCAATCTGGAAGTAAATATACTTTAATTCTGTAAAACCTTCTATTATTTCTTTGACTATATCTTCCCTTCTCCCTTCTGCCTTTGCTCTTTTTATAACACTCCCTAGGCATGTTACTCATCGAATTGAAACGTTTTTTGGCCGATTTTCCATCTCGCAGTCTTCCTTATTTGTAAAATAAAATCACAGAATCCTTTCTGATTATAACATTCCCTTATCTCTTTTTTTATTAATTTTTATTAGTGAAACACCATGAGGTACAGTTGTAGACTTACACATTTTTGTGCTTGGGTTTCGATTATACAATGATCAAATACCCATTCCTCCACCAGTGCCCATTTTCCACCACCATGGATCCCAATATCCCTCCCACCCCCATCCCCCCCATCCCACCCTGCCTGTGTGGCAGGGCATTTCCTTTTGTTCTCTCTCTCCTTTTGGGTGTTGTGGTCCGCAAAAGAGGCATTGAGTGGCAATCATGTTCGGTCCATAGCCTACTTTCAACATGCATCTCCCCTCCTGGGAGGATCCTCCAAACACCTTTTATTTGGTGCTCCCTTCTCTATCTGAGCTGTCCTTTCCCCTAGAATGCCCGGCTGGCCTCTAAGCCTTGGAGTAATCCTCCTGGTACTGATCTCGGCTATTCTTGGGTATTAATCTCCTATTTTGTTACTTTATATCTTTTATCTTTTGTTGAGTTCTTATTTTGT